CTGATTATAACTATAAAATGGCTTCCTTAGAACTATTAATGTTATTAAATGTCGGAATTTTAATACACCTATTGCAATTTGATTATTTGAGCAACATTTTTCTTTTTTTTATAATAACGCACATGAGATTTTATATACTGTACTTTGTAAAAATTTTCAGAGTTATTTAAGATTTATATATTCAAGCTTCAATCATGTTTTAATTTTTTATGTTCTCAAATTTCGGCAACTAAATAAGATAGACAACCTCCTAATATATATATGTATTTATAAAGAGATATGAGAATGTTATTTGCTTTGAATATATCAATTAAGCATATAATTGGTGCTTTATATTCTACGAAACTTGGTGAACGAAATACGCTAAGATTTTGTTTACCAAAGAACAGAATTTCTTGAATCGAATGTAGGAAACACATAATCAATTCTTCAAATAAAATTTAACGAATTTAGCTTATTCCCATGGATCTACTAAAAGACAGTGTATCTAAATATTGTTTTTGTACAATCTTATTAGATATTTATAATTTATATTATAAGATTTCTATGAATTTTGATTATTAACTTAAAAGTCATTTAGTGTTCCTCTTCTTTGTGATTATTGGGAATTAACACTATATAGTATTTTTTTTTTATGGGTGATTGGTATTTTAATAATTTCTGTACCAATTTTAAAAATTAACAATAAACTAAAAGCCAACTTTAAAAGTTCTTAAAAGTATTATTTTTATTCTAAAATATATAAACAAATATGTTGTGCGTATTTCGATTGAGTTTTTATTGGTTTTCCTATTTATTGGTGACGTCAAAGATGTTAAATGACTTTTTAACGAATAAATCAGCTCTTTCTAAAATTAGCATGAGCTATGTGGATTTTCAGCCTAGGACGTTATCCTTTTGAAAGTGTTGAATCATGAAAAAAAAAACATTTGTTGATAATTACTATAAATTCAAGAGCCATTGATGACAAATCCCGTTCTTTTAAACAATACCTTTAAAGGAATGTATAATTGGGAATTTTAAATCTGGTCTGTTCTATTAATTAAAAGTATTTTGAAAAAAAATTACTGAAACAGCCCCAAAATGCAAGCAAAATTCTCTCATAATAGATCTTTTTAGGAAGGATATCGAATGCTATATTTATGTTTTACAATTTTAACAAGTGTACTGTAAATTCATTGATTACTGCGCTTTTCAAATTACTGTGATCACCCGATGATCATCCATCACACAGAAATCAGCAGATTTTTTCTAAATTCTTATTTTTTTAAAAAAATACTACTTAAAAATTAAGAATTTCAATGATTTCTTGTTGAATTTTGATTTTATAACTAATCATCCATTAGTATTGTCGTGGTGTTTTTCAATACCTCATGTAATCGTAGCGCCAGGGTTGGATATCAGTACCCATGTGACTAGTGATCGGGTATGTGTTGATCGGGAATTAATTAAAAGTCTAAAATAGTGATTGCATGAACAATGTAGTAAAATTAGCGATTAGTAATAATAGGAATTGCATGAACAATGTAGTAATCAATAGCGATTAGTAATTAATAAAAGGTATCGATCCCAAATGGGAAAATACCTAGCTTTTGAATCATAAAAATTTCTAGCTGTTTTACTCTAAAAGATTTATAGATGCCACGTTCTTTTTGTGAAGACTTTAAATGGCGTATAATTTACTTGTGCTACGATGGTTATTCAAAAAAGGAAATAGCTTCCTTTTTATACATTAGCAAGTCGCTTGTTAATAAAGTTTTAAGAACATATCGAAAGTGGGGCACAGTTATTAACCCATGGCGCCAAATTCCTGGGCGAAAAAAAACTTTTAATAGAAATGAGATGAATGTATGTATATATGAATTATACATCTATTTATTATACGATTATATGAATTTATGTTTGCATATTATTAACAATTTTATAAATTTAGATATTACAACAAATCGTTAAAGAGAAGGTCGATTGGTATCTTGATGAACTCGTTGGTGAGATGGAACAACGTACTGGAAAATATGTGTCAATTCCTACGTTATGGAGAACATTAGCATATTGTGGTATTACACGAAAGAAAGTAAGTTTTTTTTTAAAAAAAACTTATTAAGTTTAGCATTTATATTATATAAATTTTTATTTAATTAATTAGCTTCAAAAAGAAGCAAAAGAACGGAATGAGCTCTTAAGAAGCATCTATATGGTTCATATTGGTGCGCAATACCGGCCTGAACAATTGATATTTTTGGATGAAACTGCCAAAGATGAACGTTCTATATCTAGAGGGTATGGGTATTCAGAAATAAATACCCGAGCAAGAAAAAAAGTGGTATTTGTACGTGGAAAAAGATATACAATTTGTCCAGCCTTAACTCTACAAGGAATGATCGCTGTTGATATTATAGAAGGCAGTTTAACGAAACTTAAATTTAATGAATTCATTATAAACCAAGTGGTAAGTTAATATGTAAATTTTTCTGTATTTGTATATACTAAAAGATTTTTTAGATAGTAGAAACCAAAATTCGGCAGATCGATCAAAATTCAGGATCGAAATAGGCCGAAATCAATAAATGCTTTTCAAAATAACTAATTAACGTTAAGCAAGGTTGCTTAGCTACTAGGAGTGATCAAGTATAACCCGGATTTGCATAAGGAGAGCATCTCCTGCGTTGTGAATACAAAGCAAACTTCCAATTATATTATATAATTAAAAATTTTACTTTGTATTCACAATGCAGGTTTGGGTTACACTTAACGCACTCCACAAGGCAGGGCAGATGTTAAATCGAAATGCTGAATTTTGGTCGTTCCATATTTTTTTTTTATAACCCCTTGCATATGTGCCGCAGGATGCCATTGGCGCACAATTAATCTATCTATTTGGAACTATTAATAGTACAATTATTTTTTTTGGATTAATATAGCTATCACAAATGAATTCATACCCACACCCCAAAAGTGTCTTAATAATGGATAATGCACGTATACATCATGATGATGGATTGTGCGAATATTTGGATGCATTTGGAGTGCGTATAGAGTTTCTTCCCCCATATTCACCGGACCTTAACCCGATTGAATTAGCATTTTCTTCAATTAAAAAGTATTTACAACGATACAATTACTTTGTCGAGAATTCGTATGATCCAAAATATCCATTATTAGTCGCATGTGCACAAATTACATCTGAAATGGCAAAAAATTTTTTTGAAGCATCGGGATATAAAATGTAATAATAATGTATTCATAGATTTTGCTAGCAACAATATTATATTTGTATACTATACAATATATTTATTATGTCTACGTTTAAGATTTTAATGTTATCCGAATTGTCTCATTAAGGTGATTCATAGGATACTAAGATGATAATTGTTAAGTTACATGACTTTAAAAAAATTTTAATTAGAAGTAAATATTCAAAAAGTACGATTTACAGGTTTTCGCTGATCGTCACTCATGATATTTCATTAGCATTACCCATGTGAGCAAATTTTGGTAATAGTAATTTTTTTTAACTTTTATTGATAATAATTCCGAGATTACTTACTGCAGCAACATTTTTCATACGTATCAATAGATTTCTGGTAATATTCAAATGTTTTCATCTTTTTTAACTTCTACTCCATCTAGATAACAACACAAGTTATATATATTGATTCAGTATTTCCCATATCTGAGATTTCTTGTAATATTCGAATGCCTTATGCTTATCTTTTTCATTTTATAACAATTTCCAAAATTAACTATTGCATTGGCATAACTCCATCTTCCAGATTCTGGTAAGTAGAAGCGTCATCATCCCCGCAGATTTTAGTAATATTCGAATGCTTTATGTTTATCTTTCAACTCTATTCCTTCTTGATCGCAAATTCTGACATTATATATACCATTCATATCACACATATCTGCAGATTTCTGGTAATATTTGAATGCCTTTTTCATTTTTTTCAACTTCTATTCTTTTTCATAATGATATTCAACTTTAAATTTCTTGTAATATTCAAATGCCTTATGTTCATCTCTTTTGGCTCCTATTCCATTTCGGTAACAAACTTCAATACATATTGCAACAGAATTTCTCACCTCAGCAGATTTCCGGTAATATCCAGATGCTTTATATTCATTTTTTTTTTAACTCCTATTCCATTTTAATAACAATATCCAAGATTATGTATTGATACAGTATTTCCATCTCCACAGATTTCGGGTAATATTCAAATGCCTTATGTTTGCCTTTTTCAACTTTTATTCTGTTTTTCATAATAATATCCAAGTTCATTCATAGCAAAAGCATCTACTATCTTCACAGATTTCTTGTAATATTTGAATGCCTTTTGTTCATCTTTTTCAACTCTTGTTCCATTTTCATAATGATAACAACTTGATTTATCGCAACATCATCCATCTCTGCAGATTTCTGATAATATTTGGATGCTTTATGTTCATCTTTTTCAACTCCTATCCTATTTAGATAACGATAACCAAGATTACTAATCGATGCATCATCTGAGAACTTTATTTTCATTCAACTCTTATCTCTGCAGATTTCTGATAATATTCGAATGCTTATGTTCATCCTTTTCAACTCCTATTTTATTTAGATAATAATAATTAGATTACGTATCGCTGTAGCATTTCTTATCTATGCAGATTTCTGTTAATATTCGAATTCCTTATATTTATTTTTTCAATTCCTATTCCATTTTGAAAACAATAACCAATCGTATTTATTACAATAGTATTTTTATATCGCAACTTTGGCAATATTTGAATGTAATGTTCATATTTTAAAATCATATCATTAATATCTGAATACTTTATATTTATTTTTTTAATTACTATTACCTAATTTATATACTGTACAGAATTTTTATATTTGTTATTCTTTATTGTTTTGAAAGTTATACTAATTTCGATGTACATTATACATGCAAAAAAAACCAAAAATCGATACAATATAAGATATTGTTCTAATTTTTTTTCATTTTCAGCATCAAAAATTAGAAACTATAGTATCTTTCAGCATATTCACGTAAAGTTTGTTGTGTGCCAATAGTAGTTACTTTACATTTATCAAATTGTTCATCCGTTAATCTTCTTAAATGTTTTACTAATATTCGTTGTGATTCAAAATCTCCTAAAAAATTTTGATAATAAGTTCCAGTTTTTTCCTTTTCGTCTACTTCTTTAAGAAATTCTGACATAGTAGGAAAAGTAGAAGAAATATTTGAATTATATTGCATAGGTTGTGGTTGAGTAGTATAAGATAATGTTTGATACGGATTATATGGAATTGTTAATAGCGGTTGGTGTGGTTGAAACATTTGTGATCCAAAGGCCCAATTGTATTGCTGTGGTGATAATAATGGCGCTTGTAATGATGGAGATGATGATAAGAATAATTGTGGTTGTGCTTGTAATACTTGTGATTGCGGAAGTTGCATTTGTGGTAGCACTTGTGGCAATAATTGTAGTGTAGCTTGGGACGAAGATTGTAATAGTTGTATTCGTGGTGATGCGTGAGGTGAAGATTGTTGTGTTTGTAGTGATGCTTGGGGCAAAGATTGTAGTTGTGTTTGTGGTGGTTCTTGGGATGAAGATTGTAGTTGCATTTGTGGTAGTGCTTGGGACAAAGATTGTGTTTGTAATGATGATTGCTTGGGTGAAAATGGTAGTGTTTGTGCTTGTTCTTGTGATAAAATAACCGGTTGCACTTGTAATGTTGAACTGCGTAATTTTTTAGAAGATATATTATTATGAGAAAAAAGCTGATGCGTTGGAAGATCTTTGATTGTAGCTAGTCCGTTCCTCTAAGAATATAAAAATAATGGTAATTATGTAAATGATATTTATTTCGGTCACCTACATTCATTTCACTGACAAGTTTATTTTACCGACAATTATTTCACTGATAGTCATTTCACCGACAATGTAATCCTAGTCATTGTCGTTATGGTCATGTTAAAATTAAGGACTAGTGCAGTTTTTTTAAAAAAACCTTATCGGTAAAATGAATTGTCAGTGAAATAATGGTCAGTAAAATGATCTTGTCGGTGAATGAGATATCTGTAAAGTGATTTATATACCATTTCTGTCGCCCATATAGAAAGCATCATGAAATTTATTTCAACATGTAAGTCATCATGTTTTTCCTTATTTAAACAAGGCCGATTATGTATACTGCAATGATATACTTGTCTAATTTCTAGTGCGTTTTTAGCAACTTCTTTATCACATGGAGATAAAGATGAAATGCTTGGAACCTGATTATTGTTTTTGTAATCACCAACATTGTCTTCAGGATCTCGTTCCTAAAAAAATTTATATATAATAAATTAATTGTTGGTCATAAATAGAAATTGCAAATATCAAATAATTAAATTTCATATGCATATGCATATATGTATGTATAGTAAACTTATATGTATATACCTCGTTTTTTCGTTTATTTGAATGTACAATTGTAACATAAATTCCAATACTATTTTTTCTTACGGCTAATTTTGTACATTCGGATTTAAATTTGATAAAATCTTGTGCATCAGCTAGTTGAGTACCAGCACCTGCTTCTCTTTGTGTTTTAAATGTTACACGATAATCATTCGGCAAAATTGTATCTTTTGTCATCAAAAGAACTTTTCTATGAATAGATGAAAGGAATTCATCAACAGTATCTACAGATTCTTTAAACCACTTGGCAGGTAATGAAACACCATCTGCCATTTTTATAAACAATTTATAATCCACTATAACTTCAGGTTCGTCATCACTACTCAATTCATCTTCGTTTGTTACGTCTTCACTTACTGCAATAGACATTGGCGAGGAAGGCGATTCAATCACCTCCTTTAAAATAAAAGCAAAAGTAAATAATGGGTAAATACAATACGAAATAAAGTATATGAATATAAAAAATAAAAATAAAAATACATCGTCCAGTTCATCTGGTTTAGCTGTTGTCTTTGTTGCTTTTTTTTTATCTTTAGATTTAAATCAGTTTAAAACATTATTGCAACGTCCACAAAGAGAAAACTGAAATGGTTCTTTCAAATTTATTCTGTAATTGAATTGCATAACACATCCATGAATATATTCGAATTGGAGTATTTTCCAGGTAGGTTCAAAACAGCGTGTATACGCTTGTTTGACTAAATCTGTTCTATTTTTTCTTGTTGGCACTTGAGAAACCTTACAACTGCAAGTATCATCGCGCAAATTAACTGCGCAGTACAAACATTTTCGACAACCAAAGCAGGTGCCACGGTAATATTGAAGTTTTGTATTTTTTTTATCTGACATAAGTTTACTAATTTGGAAAAGAATGACAGAAGTTCAATTATTTTCGTATTTTTGTATTTATATTCAATTTTAAACTCCCGATATTCAGATTTCAGATTTTCAGATTTTTGATTTTCAGATTTCTGTGTGGTGTGTGATGTATGAAAATCACTGATCACAGTAATTTGAAAAGCGCAGTAATTATGCTAAAAAAAAAAAAAAAAAACAGAAAAATTATTTGCATATTTATATTGGTTTAAGGAAAATATTGTGAATCGCACAAAATAATTTCACTTAAGAGTTCTTTACAGTATTTTTTAACACTTTAATAGAACATGTTCTTGTATTAATTCAAAATTAACACTGATAGATTTCAAAAAAAAATATGACCTAGTTTAAAAATAAAACATCATTACTCATGCGACATAAAAACTATTTAACTGCTTTTAGGTGTTTTCAAATACTCCATCATTCTAATAATTAAATTTCAAGTAGGCTTATATGAACAAATGTTAAATATATTTCCTAATTAGTTATTGCAATAAATAAATATTATATTCGGTAATTTTTCCTTTTCTTTACTAAAAATAGTGTTTTATTAATTATTAATTACAAAGCTTTACGTGAATTAAAAACTTCAAAATGCAAAGTAGTAATTTTCCTAATCCATCCCTAAATCAAGACTAGTTGAACCGGAAACCAAACAGAAATTTAGTAGAGTAAGGTCTAGAAGACTTTTATTTCGATTTTTAAACTTCAGCAAATGAGAATAAAAATTCTTTTTACTAAAAATTAAGATTCTATATTTATAATTTTATTGAAATTCTCTTATTCACCTTAAAACCGCACCACGTTATAAACAATTTTTTTTAAAAAAAAATAAAATTTCATAAAAGTTAATAATCTTATATGCTATGCAAATAAAGTATTTATACTATAATAATTTGATTCTCTAGTCTGCCTCTTTAATCAAATGTTTTTTTAGTTCTTGAATTATCATTTCATTAACTTCTAATTTTTGAATTATCTTATTTCATTATCAGTTAAGTTTTGAAATTTTTCTTCAATCCTCTTATTTTCATCATCCATCAATTTGTGAATCTTTACTTCAATTTCTTCAAATTTTTTAGATAAATTATCTTTTGCTTTATCTTTACCTACAATTTTTAATAATGTATTAGGAAGAAATGGCATTTTAATTGTATCATCCCAATTATCATTTTGTATTTTAGAGACTATTTCATAAAGTTTGTCAATACTAAATCTGTAAAAGCTTTAAAAATTAATTAATTTTAAAATTATATAACTACTAAAAACTTTAACAATAAATTATAATAAATTAATTTTACATAGTTTCAGGAAACCAATTATTTTTCTACATTGGTGTGGTAGCATATAAAATAATTCTATTTCTGTTTAAAGAAATAGTATAATTATTAAAAATAAAGTTATTAGCAATATTTTGTAAAGAGGAAACACACGGAACTCTCACCGACGATCACTCATACCGAAATTTTTGGGAAGAATCCAACTCGAAAAACAAGAAACCTGATATACAATACACTTGGTAAAATGAATGAAA